CACACACTTCCCATTTCTCTTTTTCTTCTCTCTCTGGTAAATGAGACATCTTTCTCTGATGGAATCAAAGGACATTTTTCATCCATGGACTCTGGGCTGCAGCCATTACAATATTGGGATGACATGAAAATTTTCCATGGCAGTCCCAGTGAGTTCCATGAGTATGTAACTGTGTGGAAAGAGAGATACCTGTTTCTGTTTGGTTGGATTTTTTTTTCCTTTTCAGTCATTGACTTCTCTTATTTGCTACCTGGTGTATTCAGACTCCTCTGCCTTCCAGGCAAAAATAAGTATTACTGTTTTGCATGAGAAACTATTTGACCATCCCAGTTGTAGTGACCTGAAGAAATTCTCCATAGCCACAGATATGGCCAAGCACTTTCCCTGGTGGCCTGTGGCTATTCTTTTAATCCCCATCAGCCTGTGAAGGGCAGCAGTAGACCTGCTGAGGCAGTGGCTAAAAGGCAGATAACATTGCATCCACTTTATTATTCTGAGTGATGAGTGCATAATTGCTGTGTGGTACATCCTTTAGCTACATTCACAAACTAACGGTGTTTATATCTTGTGGGGAAGTTTTATGTTTTCATTTTGTTGATTGTTTTTCTTTATTCTATTTGATTGGTCTGTAGATGAAGCTTTCTTTGACTCTGACAATAACATAGAAAAGAGCTGTCTCCTGTTGGAGTTCACCATGGACTGTCTGCACAAGCTCTTCCTGTATGACACCCAGAAATTCCTGAGTAAGGAAAGAGCAGAAACCTTGATGTCACCTCTGGTTGATCAGGTACTGACAAACACAAAAAAACCCCAATTCATAGCTAATTTTTTTTCTTCCTTCTGATAGTTAAAAAAAAAAATCAGGTGTCAAAGCTTTGCCTTAATAAAAAAGGGGAAAAGAGTTAATTGTCTTTCAGTTACAGTCAGTATTAACTGCTTTGTCTAAGGCTCTGAATTACTGATTTATTTATCTCTTTCTAAATGTCTTCATTCTTCTGAGCTCTTGCAGACCAGTGCACTCCAACTGATGCTTTTAGACTTAACTCTGGAGTACCTGAAACCCAAAGCTTTTGGCTGGGTTTATCTAACCCTGGATCTGTTTTACTTCCGCAGCTGGAAAATGTGC